CTGCGGTTCTGTGAGTATTTCCCTGAAGATGAATCCGCGAAGGATTTCGAAACGTCAGGCAAATAAACATACTGTCCCAGCGATCGAGTCGTCGTCTACTTCTTCTTGCATACAACTAATCATCAATTTTTTAGATAAGAACGCCCACAACAGGTTTATTTCACGGTGTTTACGACAAGTACATTAATATAAATCACCCGAGCTCCATAGTCTACCCTAACTAGGTGTAAACTTTAACTGCCTCCCGAACGACTCTTCCTTATTATCTATTTTTTTTATATACGATGCACAGGATGTCAGAAGAATACATACAACTTACGTTGCTATTTTGTACAGAGTATACTTTTGCAGTCGGTCAGAAAAAACTCTTTATAAAGCGAGGATCCTGTCCTGACTGGACTATTTTGAGAGCAAGAACTAAAATAATCACTTTGGAAACCCTACTTAAGTAACTTTTTCAAATAGAAGATAAGCTTCGGACGTTCAGTTAACGTTTCACTAGATAGGGGCTCATCTATAAAAGGACTACTTAACAGAGTGTTACCCCAAACTGTCCACATTTTGAAACGCAGTGTATGTTCGCATGCCATCTTCCCAATTAGGTTTACATATGCAAAATACTACTCAACGGTTTATTTCCCCTCCTATCTCTCCCATCAAAGCCTTAGTCTATATAAGGAGCAGTCGGCTCCGTCTTCAGCTTCCGTAGCCCTATTGGCGTTCTGGTGATGCTTCACATACCATCACTCCACAGTATTCTTTTTTGTCAGAACGGAAGCCGTGACAGCCGGACATAAATAGCATCTGCCGTGAGTGACACGGCCTTTTCCAGGGCTCCTTCATGACCCCCGGTGGCTTTATGAACGTCGCTAGGCAACCACCGTTTTTATTCTCTCCTGCTTTCTCAGAAGAGACACAGCAAGCCTGCGCTCACACGCTAGATAAGGAAAAAATTCACACGGTTGAACCTACCCTTCCGTAAGAAGTATTGCAGAGGCAGGCGTCTCGCCCGACACTCCGCGGAACATTAAATATTTATCGATCTATACATGCTTGCAAAAGCAGGCTTTGATGTATGTGTGTCGCATTCTCCCCTCCTAACTTATTTGCGCAGCCTAGACAAATAGCCAATATTGTTGTAGTTCTGCAAAATCCCTATTTTCTAAAATTTAAGAATTTGTATTAGTAAAAAATTGTTTTCATTCATTTCTCTTCATGCCAGTATAATGGCATGGAGAATAAAACCGTCAATTATGTGCAGTGGTTATATGGTCTTCGGGGTAGCGTGGCCGAAAAACGCGCTGTCTGGAGAAGAGGTTGCGCGAACGCATACGCAATAGAAAAATGTCAATGAATTACAAGGAATTTAGCACGAATCAACGAAAAGTTCGTACGAATTTGACACACGAAATCGTAAGAAATTCGTACCATAATCTTCGTATCTCAAATTTCAGTTGGACACCAGAAAGCCTTGCTTCTCGATAGAAGCCCCTTGCGTGATATATCGCGTAGCACTTTTCTTAAGTCCTTTTTTATTACATGAACATTTTATTTTATAAAAAACTATTTAAAAATAGGCGTAGGATACATTTGGCGCTCCGGCTGCTTATCCCATAGCACGATCGATTTTCCAATAACTGCTTGATAAGGACATTGGGAATCAAGCAGCGCATCATCGAGTAGTCTGTCAATCCATCAAATTCCTTGACGCAATTCAACAAAAGTCAGTGAAACAAACAAATATCAAATGAGCGAATTTTGCTATTAGGGTAGGGTACCAGTCTGACTCGACAAACGAGAAAACCAATCGATTTTAATTTAAATCCCCGCACATTCCATCAATACGAATCACAAATTTGACGCGAGAAAGACCTTTCAAGCCATATATCGACACACTACTCTAAAGGCCTGCGCAAACGGGTGCTCGCCACCACCGAAGCAGTGGCAATCCGT